AAAAAAAAAAAAAAAAGAAGTTTTGCTTCAGCCCACAAGAGGAGGTGATATGAACATCCCCCTATAGTGGACTTCGGTGGAATGCTCCTGTCTATTGGTGGGAAGCGGCACCTGCTTGAAACGGGGTCCAGCGTCCCATGAACATAGTTCGCAGGTCTAAGGCTGTGGTATAGTAGGCTTCGACGTCTGTGTCAAGGTGACACATTTTCAGCGGTAGGGGACTGGCGCACAAGTGGGTTCTAATAGGGTGAAAGTTGTTGGAGGACCGGTCCACTGCATTTTTACAGACTACTTACAACTCTTGTGCGTAGAACCAGCGCAGTAGCAAAATTGGAGGACCGTTCCTCCCTTGCATGTGAACTGCAAAAGGGCCCTCAGGCCCGTATTCTCAAAACAAGAGGTCAACGCTGGAAAGACCTGGGAAGGCGCGAAAAAACAGGCGTTTTGCAAGAGGCAAATTTCGTGATTTTTTGTGCTCGGAGGAATTTGCAGAAAAATCTGAAAATTCAAGAATCCAAAGAGTAGGTTGTGCTCTTTCCGGGGGTGAAGTGCGCCCGCCCAAGTTGAGTTTAGAAAACGCAACAGTGTGACAACATTTTCACTTATTTAAAAATACTGTAATGAAAAACAAAAAAGGCACTGTCAAAGTGAACGTCTCTGTGGAAAAGGGATACTCCCCGTGGTGAGGGGCCAGGAGGTCACCATTTGTCAAATGGACTGGGACCGTGGATGGCCAAATGCGTTCATTGCCCAAAGAAGGAAGCGAGTTTGATGCCAGAGAGCCAAACACAGCTGTCAGAGTTCCTCCGTTTCAGGATGTGATGATGTAAAAAAAAAACAAAAAAAGCAAATGCACTCAAGTTAAGAAATCTAACGGGGGGGGTGTAGGGTAGTTTTCTCAACTTAAAATGGTTTCCCGCCCAAACCAGAAGGGCCAAAGCATACTACAAAACGGATTTCACGTCAAATACAATTTCACGTCAAATACAAAATCTAGAAAACGACCAAATCTAATAGGTTATTCTCCAGTATTTCGGTACCATTAGATTAATACATCAACAACAGAGCTCCGTCCCACCATGCCACATATGATAGAAAGCTCAGCGTTGAGAAAACTCAACTGGGTTCACCCCAGGAAAAATATCAGAAAACTTTCAGAAAATCACTAAGACCGCGCTGTGCCGATTTGACCCATATTCCATTTTTGTCACTCAGCCATGCGTGGATCGGCGGAAAAGTATCCCAACTTCAGTGATTTTTCGCGCTCAGAAGAATGCGTGAAAAAACCTGAAACATGTAGGTTTTTTTTCTTTTTCTTTAAGCCCAACCAATTCAATTACCTGTCAAATCTGGACAGGGCCGCCTTTCAGGCCTTTTTTATTGTCATTATAGTATTACGGGGAACCCCGTAGCAGCCACGTCCGTGCTCAAGCCTCCAACGAGGGAACATGCGGGAGCTGCACCCAGCAGCAGTTGTGATACCTGCTACAGCAGGTGGGCGATATCGGCCAGGGGTCAGCCGGTAGCATCAGGACCGAGCTTCTTCGATGGGCCAGTCACTGTTCCTCC